ATATCTATCTAGGTCTGTTAATTTCCTTTTACTTAATTGAGTCTATATAAGAGTTTAGATATAACGGGATAGTCTTATTGCCCTAGTGTTAATTTGAGACTCATACAATAATGAGTTCCAGCTCTGATGATGTCATTCATATGATGGGCGAAAACTCAGCCTGTTTTCACCCGAAACGATGGAGGTCTTGTGGATTACGTCAATCTGAACGTCGTATAAAAGCTAAACGGCTGTAGTACAACAGGATTCAGCCATCCTATTTTGGTGAGATCGATGTAAGAATCTCTTCTTCAAGCACTTTCATACGAAATGAAAGTCCCCCTAACAATGCTTTCTAAGGAGATTCCTCGAAATCCAGTTACTCTTCTTATCTACACAAAAATGGCTTTTATGCAGAATGCTTCAAGAAAAAAGAAGAATCATCCAATAAAATAAAATAAATTTAGAAGTTAAGGAATGAAGGCTTTTGAAGAGTGAGACAAGAATATAAACATATAATATACCACATAATCTCCCATTTAATATTCGATGCGCTTACGAAACTATTTAATTAGTGGACCATTGATAAAATCATAAGAGGTGTAGAGCTAAGAGCTAACTATTCACAAAAAACAGGTAGATCTCATTCAATAACTGGATCAAACTGGGATAATTAGTGTTGAAAATGGAAGAAAACTCTAGGATATGGAAAAGGAGATTATGATCTCAGAGTAAGAGTACGCATCCCTTATATATCTTAGTACCACTTGTAGCAGTATATAACTATAAGTCATTCTTGGAATAAGTAACCGAAAATTAGATAGTTCGGTCAATACGGTGCACATAAAATTGGCGTAAATGATGGAAATATGATATTCTTACTAGGCCATGGTAGTTTTAATTTCCAGATCATATCCACTACATTCAGGTACTTATATGGGTTCATTTATTTAAAAATGACGAAAATAAAAACGATGTCTGGCGTAAATAGGAAGTTAATGACGAAAGAATTACAAATTTAATAGAAACAGAGAAAATGGACTGAAAATACTAGGCAAGCAATTGAAGTTTGGTTATTTCATTTAAACTATTATGAGGATTTGAATAATTTTCCAATATTATAAGTGGATTAGAATTGAAGAGAAAAAGGAAAGCTTACTTGTTTTTAAAATGCATCACAAATTGGAAATATTTTAGACCTTAAGAGGTAAAAGACAGATGCTTCATACGACGAGGTCCGGGCTCCTATTGAGCCACATAACAAAGTCGGCACTACTATCATGGACTCAACGTTACCACAGAGGCGAACTAACCCTTACCCTACCTAATGAGTATATAATAAACTCAGTCAGACGCAATGACTTGATTTTTGTTTTTGAATGAAAAGTTGATTGGAAAGAATTCGTGAATTGGTCTAACTAAAAAGCTGAGAAGGATTGTCTTGGAGTGAAAATCATCGGATTCTGCGAATAAGCCTTTTGATCATATCCTGAGACCAATTGCTAATCGTTGTCAATCCTATTACTGCCATTATCAGAGAGAGAAAATATCATTTACAAAATCGTAGATATGAGAACCAAGATGGTGTGGTTTTCTGTTTGGCCGCAGTCTCCTTTTGCTTTATAATGTTGGTTTGACCTTGCTTGCGCAACTTGGCAAAAAAATCATGGGCTGCCTCATTAGGATCGAAATATTAAGTATAGGATGTGTGTCTGATTTTAGCCAGACACTCCTCATTTTTTGGCCTATTCTATTCAGTGTGAATTTTTGTAAATGATGTTTGTTCGACTTTGCCGGAGCGTCAGATGGAGCTTGTGGAACGTACCTGGTCCTGTGTCCTCGTCTCTTTGGGAATGTACTAAGTCAATGGTCCGAGGCTGTATATCACGAATACTATGCAAGAGGACACAGGACTAGGTGCGTTCCACAAGGTTTCCTTGACGCTCCGACCAAGTTGAGAAAACAAGGTCGGACAAATATCATTTACAAAAATTAACACTAAATAGAATAAGCCCAAAAACGAGGGGCGCCCAGCTAAAGGCACACACACTGCTTTTACTTGAATTTCGATCTTAATGAGGCAGCCCATGATTTTGTTGATTATTTCATGCCTATTCAACATTCTTGTAGATGGGGGATAATACTACAGAGTGCGCGTCTTGTAGATGAAAACTAATGGATGCGTATACTACGAGTATTGAGTAATATTTTCGTTTAAAATAATAATTTAATACGATTTAAATACAATTACTTTTCATTACACATAAAGAGAATGTATGGACATTCATATTTTGGACAGGATAGGAAGATAAACAATTCTACTAATTTCCTGGCGTTACCTTCCTGCAGATTTCGTAAATAATGGGCGGACTACTAAGAAAGTGGTATATCAGAACAAGATATGAGGAGAAATTATTATACTAATCTCAGTTTTCTTTTATTTTCAAGAATTTTTGGATCCTCTATCTAGATAAGAATGCCCCAAGGCTTTGTGTTCATGGGGAACACACCGATCCGTTATCTGAACCCAAATCCGCTTGTAAAGGGCCATGGGTCCAAAAATTAAACTTGCCTAGCACATGACAAATAGGAGACACGAAATAAGGTAAAAAATACACTGCTTTGCAGGCTACGGCGATTTCGCAATCAAACATAAGATTAGAGTCTATAGTTATAGACGACAAACCAACAACCCGAAGAGAAATTTTAAGGAATTATTTGTGCATGGCTTAATGATAAATATGTAAAGCGGGAAGATAAAGAACTAGTACAGAAAAGGCTTAAAAAGCTCTGAGTTTGTTTATAATTCACACACTCCACACGACTTAGACACTGCATACACAAGATATGGAATAACAATTACCAAAATATTCGTTAAAATTGCATAATTAAACAGAGGTTTTTTTAGACAAGGAAACAGCTTCTAGTACCTCAATTTCCTTTATACACTTTTATCTACCCCATTCTCAAGGATGTATAGTAAGCATAAAATAGCCAACTACATCATGGGATGCATTGTTAGGATAGAAATATTAAGTATAAGAAATGGGTGCGATTTTAACTGAACACATATCGTTTCTTGACTTATTCTATTGCACGAACTTTTTTAAAATGTTTTCTCGCTCTTTCAATGGTCGTCACATGATAGACGAACGAATAGCCCGAGTTCATCTGGGTCTAAGGATGGTGAACTGTGGATTTCTTTGTAGAATTCTACGGTCTCCATTCCATATTAATCTTCTTTCGATTCCAGTGAGACCAATTCATTAATTTTTTCCAATAAAATTTTTCTTCTAAATGAAAAGTAAGGGTAGAATAACTCACTAAGGGATTTTTCAAAACCTAGCTTTCTTCATATCAGCTAAACACGCCATACCTTTCATTTTGTTAGGAAAGAACAAAACATTGGTAATGGCTTCACTGCAAACCCGAGGATTAATTTAAAGTTGTCACTAGATTTGAGTGAAGTCCTGGGTCCACAATCCCTTGACTCTAATGAACCAGTACTGAGCTTCTGTCTGTCACGTGAAACGTTCAGGGGTTGAAGTTAGGCTTTATGTAAATTCAAAATGTGCTAAGGAGACCTGAAAATTTACCTACTTAGTAAAGGTGCCATATCAAAGGGAATAAGTAGGGTAAGTGATTGTAACCGAACAGCTGCATACCCACCAAAGCCAAATGAATTCTTATTAATGCAATGGTAACGCGAGTAGACATGCTTGTTGGTACACACGTGATGCGTATCTGATGCTGAGCCAGGAAGTTAGGCCTCAACCAGCTGAGGCCAGAAAAGCCTCTTGATTCGACAGCACTTTGCCCTTCCTTTGTAAGCCTATCCAGTAGCCACAAGCGATTCCGGATAATTTATTTCCTTCTATTTGTGGCATTGCCGTTTCCAGACTCCTCAATACTCCACTCGTGGAATGTCAATACCCCGTCAGCCACACGCTGAGAAGATCTAAGCAACTTTGCCATAAACCATCCTGCGTATTAGATTAAGCATGTGTCCAAGTCTAAAAGGATTTCGATGACTACTTGATAGACCTAGCTCTTGCACTACGCAATGGTTACCACATATTACTCACCCACCTGATCCAAATCCCCCTAATCACCATAAGTTGAATAGATAGAACATTATGATCTGATCTAGTTAACAATCCATTTCCTGAATGCTATCTATACCCTAACCAAATCCAGCGTTGATTAAAGTAGTAGTAACATATAGATGAATAGATTAATGCTTTAGCAGCAAGACAATGGTCTCTAATTAATGAGGGCTATCCCATGGATAGAGAATTAAGAGAGATTAGAAACATATAGACACAATTGTACTGGCTCTTATGGGCTATAGCCGGGCCTGTTCGGTTAGATCAGCCAATTATGGGGGGACCACAATTTGGAACAAGGAGGGATATACAGAAAGCTAGGGAAGGTATACGATCGGGCATGCCGGGTGGCCCGACGATTAATAGCTCTTATGCCTGAATCTCGAAAACGTACTAAGAAACGAGGAATGATAATAGTCATTTTCATTGCAAGACCGAGTTTCGAGGAGCCCCTGGGGACCTCACCCTGAACACCGTTTATGGCCGCGATGAACTAACTCGATTTACTTAGCAATACCCTGCTCGCTGACTAGCCTGTGGCACCAGAAACCGGTGAATACCATCGGATTAGCCATACATCGGTATGGCTAATAGGCTAAACGGGTGACGACAAACTTGGGTCAGAATGAAGCCATTCATGCAGCAAGTATTTTTCTCTTAAATCTCTGCATAGTATGGGGGTACGAATGGCTCATCTAACCAAAAACTCAGTTCATGATAGTCCTATGGGCTAGAAAATCGACGTGCATACAAGGTTGGAGGTCTCACGGCTTCAAGATAATCCCTTTTTAGAATCAGGCAACAGCAGGACTGAGAACGCATCTACATAAGAGCTTTCGAAGAGACCCTTCATCAATTAAAAATATTTGCAAGGGTAGTTAAAGTCTTTATCAAAAAAACAGATAAACAAAAGGATTAGTGTAGCTTTTTACTTCGAGGATTAGGTGGGACCACGAGCTGAAAATAATAAGAGTGTGATTAGATGGTTGATGCGGACGTTGAAGAATTACAATGAAGCCACTTACTGATTTAGGCTTGAAGCCGCCAAATGCCTTTGGACCTTTCATACCAATTTCTCCCTTCGTAACCCTAGGTTGGGCCTTGAGATTTCGGAGACACGATTTGGGAGCAGATTTTAATGCCTTCTGGTTATTTTTATGAGCACTCATAATCTTAGATAAATTAGCTTCGATATTCTCAGCATCATCATCACTTTCATCCTCATCACTTTGCTCTTCGACGCTCTCATCCTCATCTTCATCGTCT